GGGTAGGGTTTTCTAAACCCCCCCCCCCCCATGCTACAAAGTGATATGGAATGAAGTATGGTGTAACTAAAAAAACTTCTAAGTTAACCAAGAGACAGCAGGGAATACTAATCAGCTGGTGGTGGAAAGTGCCGTCAAGTCACAACCAGTGTTCCCTCTAAGCTGAGTTTAGTGTGAGCTAGCTCAGTTTTTTAGCCTCCGGCTCACACATTATCTTAGCTCAGGAAGGATGGCTCCAGAGCAAACAAACTGATGCAGCAGGCAAATCGCTCGCTCACAACTTTAATGCCCGGAACTCACAAAGTAGAATTTTTACTCACAAGACTCCACAGCTTAGAGGGACCGTTGGTCACAACTGACTTACGGTGACGCCTGGTGGGGTTCTCAAGGCAAGAGACATGCAGAGGTGGTTTGCCACTGCCTGCCTCTGTGTGACGACCCTGGTATTCCTTGGAGGTCTTCCACCCAAGGACTTTGCTTCCAAGATCTGATGAGATCAGGCTAACGTGAGATATCCAGGACAGGCCAATCAGCTACCTGTCTCTAATGTTACACACTAAAACCCCTCAAAAAGGATCCCCCTGATCTAAAATGTTATTTCTGCAAAATTCTTACATACCGAAAGGTCACTGAAACGAGGAAACACTTTCCCACAAGACATCATCTACAGGACATTTCTCATGGATACAGCTCACCAGAAATATTCGAAAGCAAGAAATTGCAAGTAGATAAATACCGTAGGTACCACTTGGGTGGGAAGGTAACAGCGTTCCGTGCACCTTGGTGTTTAGTCATGCCGGCCACATGACCACGGAAACGTGGAAACGTCTTCAGACAGCGCTGGCTCTTTGGCTTGGAAACGGAGATGAGCACCGGAACCCTGGAGTCGGACTCGACTGGCTTTCGAGCAAGGGAACCTTTACCTTTACTTTACTTTATTTATCTAATAAGAATTAAGTTACCAGCGCATCTATATATTTAAGTTAGGTTCAAAATCAATGCGTGGGGTTTTCTAATGCTTCTTGTGACAGTCTGGACTTCTTACTTACTCGATAGCCTTCTGGTAACATCCAGCTCTTCGTCAGAGAGGGGTCTGTTTCTCTCATCTATTTCTCTCTCCCATCGCCACGCCTGGAGCTGTTCAGGAGTCATGCTCATGATGTGACCTGCATTGGGGGATCAACAGAAGAGGCTGATGCTTTCGACACAGAAGAAAATCTCCAGGTCAAATACAAAAACATCCTCGGGACAAAACTCGTCACGTGATCTCTGGAAGTAATCGGGTATCAAATTCCAAGCAGTTAAACTGGCAGAGAGTTCTGGGACTCCTTTGAACATATCTGTCCAATAATACGCAAAGTGCGCACAAGGCCCTCGATGACATTTCTAGCTGCTAAGCTGTCTTTAGAAAGATGGGAGTATAGTGATGAGCAGCACAAATATGTACTACTTCAAAAGGGGGGGAAAGCACAGGCATTCAAAGAACAGATACAGGCTGCAGTCCTTAACACAGGGTTTTCCAGCAAGGTTCCCA